GGCTTCCTCATCTGCAAAATGAAAGGTTGGTAGGAACTGGGGAGGGGAGATTCCACATCATACCAAAATACCCACATGCCCCCTCCCAGCCTCCCACCCTTTCTTCCCTACCTAAGTCATCCCTCCCTACCTACTCTGCTTTAAGTAAAAATAGTGTAGAGAAAAATAGTTAGTGGACACAAAGCATGGATCCATTGCTCTTCCTTGTACCATGACGGAGTTTTCTCACCTTGTAATTGAGGGGGCTGAGGTGCTTGAAGCAGCCGAAGCAGGTGTAGCCTATGCAGACGGCGATGGTGAACAGCACTGCCAGCAGGGTGAATAGGCTTGTGGGCGCCCGGAAACCTGAGAATCAGAAACAAACACTAGTCCTGGAGAATGGGCCTGACCCAAGGGGGCAGGAGGGAGGAGACCCTGCACCCTCATACCTTGAGAAAGGAAGCTCTTCTCCAAATGGCAGGGTGCTCTCAACAAAACCAAGGCAGAGGACATCCCTCAAATGTGTGAGCTCTAAGACCTTGCTCCTGGGCCATTCCCCTGGCCTTGCAAAGCCTTTCCTGATACACACTCTGCCCCAAAGAAACCTCGTGTCAATTTTGAATCTACTTATAGATTCAAAATTATATAGAGGGAGATACTGTGGTGCAGTGGGAAAAACTATGGATTTGGAGTCAGAGGTCTTTGGTTTGAATCCCAGCCCTGCCACCTTCTACCTGTGTGACCTTGGGCAAATCACCTAACCTCTCTGGGCCTCAGTTTCTTCATCTATAAAGTAAGGAGGTTGGGCAGGATGTCCTCTAAGGTCCCTTCCACCTCTAAATCTATGATTCTGTGATCTTTTATTTTACATCACCTCTTCCAAAAGAATGTAAGCTCACTGAGGATGGGGATTGTTTCACTTTTGTCCCTGAATCCTTAGTGCCTAGTACAATACCTGATCAATAAATGATTACTGATTGACTCTGAGAAGCAGATCTGCCCACTTTTTCTACCCTTAGCAGGCTCTGATCCCTTATCAATCCAGACAACTGACAAGGGTGAATATGTGTACACACACACACACACACACAAATACATATATCTCCTTAGTCTTTAGCATACACACACATTCACGCACACATACACACACACACCCTTTTGTCCAGTGGAGACATACGCCAACAAGCTGGGTTCTTCGTGCTATGGAATGCTTCTATGTACCAAATGGCTTGGAAGCTGACTTTGTTGAAGGCCTCATCCAAATACAGATAAAGACCATTCTTAAGTTAAGCTGTTTTCTAAATCATCAACTAGATGCCTTAAAACCAGCAAGAGAGTTACTTGGCTGGTTCACATAGACAACACAGTTTCCAAATCCCAGATACTAAGGCTATATGCTTCCCAAAGAAAGGCTTAGGACAAGCCTGGAACCCACTTGTCTTTTCATACTATCATAGAATCAGAGCTAGAAGGGGGACCTTAGTCAAATTCCCTCCATTTTCAAGATGAGGAAATGAGTTCTACTGAGGTGAAGTAACTAGCCCAACATCACCAAGACAGCAAGCAACAGAACTGGGATTGGTCCCAGGTCCTCTGACTCCTGATTTGTCTTGCTTTGTCTTTGGGGATCCTCCCCCGCCCAGAGCCACAATTCCACAACCTTACCGACAGCAGAGACTGGATTGACTTTAGTTGGGATAGATGTGTATGGGTACCAGTGCCACATCAGCCTCACTCCTGCACAGGCATGCTCAGGGCCCAGTCTGGCAGGGCTACTCACCTAACCTCACAAAGGAGAAAAAGTACAGCCAGAAGAGGCAGAGGATGGGTGCAGCCAGAGCCTGGTTCACAGCAGCAAAATGGATCTTCTTTTCCAGTTTGGTAGGGAGATAGGCAAAGTAGATGTTGTGTCGATCCACCATGTGCTTGAGGAGGATGTAGATAAGACCTGTGGGAAGGGGGTGGGGAGCCCAAGAATCAGGGCACCATGATGAAGAAGCAGGAGGGGCCAAGTCTACGGCCACAGGGTCACCCTGTTCTGTCCCAAATGCCCTGGTTCCCCTTTCTGTCTACCACACCTAATCACAGAAGGGTGGGACAGTCAGAGACAAACTATCTAACCAACACCCACTTCAACTCCAACAGTAGTAACTGATTTCTGATGGCTACTGGGGAAAGGCAGCTGCTATACTCTCTCTTTTCTGGGACAAACTCCTTTCCAAATTCATAATTCATAATTCTCTTTGGTACAGCATTTCAAAGAATATTGTTGGGGTGGGGAAAGGCACTCACCAAAAGGGGCGATGATGGGGCAGATAATACTGTAGGCCATGATGACGGTGAAAACACATAGCATCCATGCGTACATAGCTCCAAACTCATACTCAAAAGCCTGATGCTGGAGGGTCAGAAGGAAAGGAATGATTTAGAGAGGAAAGGGATGGGAGGAGCAGGGGAAGGTGAACTTATAGGGCTGCCTCACCTCAAAACTCAACTACATATCTTACACCAATGGGTTTAGTTAAAAAAAAAAAAAGGAAAAGGTAAAGGTGAGGAATGTATAATGAGGGATTTTAGAAGTAAGAGACAAACATCCTGTCTTTGATGCTAACTGAATGACCTTGGGGCAAGTCACTTAATCCAGCTGGGTTTCCTCTTTGGAAAAACTAGGGGGTTGAACTAGATTGTCTCTGAGGCCCCTTTCAGGTCTGGAACTATGTTTTTATGAACAAAAGTCCCTAGAACTATCCCTCCTTCTCCAAATACATCCCCTCCAATCTTTTAAAATCAGTTTAACCTCTTGCCATGAAGTCTTTCCTGAATATGCTATCCTACATATGAAGAAAAGCACAATAATGCATGCACTGATATCCAAACATGACTTTTTTCTGACAGCTCTATGGAGGTATGGTAATAAAGTGATTACTGTCTCTTCTTCTTCTTGCTTCCCTTCTAATTTTTCTTTCTCTCTTTCTGTCTCTCTCTCTCTCTCTCTCTCTCTCTCTCTCTCTCCCCCCCCCACCCTCTCGGCAATCAGGATTAAGGGACTTGCCCAGAGTCACACATCCAGTAAGTGTCTGAGGCCACAGTTGAACTCAGGTCCTCCTGACTCCAGGGCTAGTGCTCTACCCACTGGTCACCTAGCTGCCCCTCCACCCTAATATCTTAAACAACAGGGTACAAATTGTCTTACAATAATCTTCCCTATTTCTGTGGGGTAGAGAGCAGATATTATTATCTATAGCAGACAGGAAAACTGGGATGCAGATGGGTGTGCTAGAGCCAACTTGAACTGGCTTGGGGAAAACCAACTGTTAAATCTTCAGTGTAAACATTTATATGATGGCAACTGGCAACCGTGACAAATCAGGGCTTGGTTTATTGTTTCATTGAATGTCTAGACTTAAAGCATGAAGAAAATGTTAATTATGCAAATTAAACTTAAAAGTTTATGTGCATACCTTTGGATTTTTTGGTTTTTGTTCTGAGAGCCAGCATACCCTGAGATGCTGACAATCTGCCCATCTTCAAGGTGGCAATACCAATTCACTTCCACTCGGGTCTCTGGGGACCACACACAACACACTCTGCAGATAGCTCTTGCAGATGATGCCTCCTTCTTTGAACTCAGAGGATCACAGAAATTAAGAGCTGGAAGGGACTTTGGAGGTCCTCCAAATCAAGGGTTCATAACCTTTTTTGTAAGAGACCCCCTTTGGCACTCTGGTGAAGTCTATGGAATCCTCAGAAAATGTTTTTAAATGCATAAAATGAAAGTCATAGAATTACAAAGGAAATCAGTTATACTGGAATGCAACTATCAAACATCTTTAATAAGAATAGCTGGCATTTACATGGCAGCTAGATGGTATGGCAGGTAGATGATTGGGTCCTGGAGTCAGGAAGACCTGAGTTCAAATCTGACCTCAGACACTTACTAGCTGTGTGACCCTGGGCAAGTCACTTCACCCTGTTTCCCTCCATTTCCTCATCTGTAAAATAAGCTCAAGAAGGATCTCTGTATCTTGGCAGTACCTCTGCCAAGAAAACCCCAAATGGGGTCATGAAGAGTTGGACACCCTGAAACAACTGAACAAAAAGCATTTCTATATGGCTTTAAGCTTCATAAAGCACTATACAAATATTTCATTTTATCCTCACAACGATCTTGGGAGTTATTATTATTATTATTATTATCTCCTTTTTTATAGGTGAGGAAACTCAGGTAGACAGAGATTAAGTAACTTGCTTAGGGTCATGCAGCTGAGGCTGGATCTAAACTCTTCTAAAATCTTCCAGATTCTGGGTCCAGTGCTCTATCCACCGTGGCCAAGGTTAAGAATTGAGCCCCAAGTTAGGAACCTCTGATCCATGTCCAATTCCCTCATTTTACAGAAGAGGAAAATAAAGTCCCCTCAAAGTTAAGTGACTTGTTCAGTCACATAGATAATAAAGAGGGGCAGCTAGGTGGTGCAGTGGGTAGAGCACTGGCCCTGGAGTCAGGAAGACCCAAGTTCAAATCCAGCCTCAGACATTTGACACTTAATAGCTGGGCAAGTCACTTAACCCCAATCGCCTCCAAAAAAAAAAAAGATAATTAATAGCAAACCCAAGTCCTGTGATTCCAAATATATTGCTGTTTCCCACTCTACCACTAACTTCCTAGTGCATTGAAAGCAAGTGATTATACCCTGGAGTGTACAGTTCACTGTTTCAAGTACTCTGCCTGGACAAACCATGAGCCACTTAAGGGCCAAGTTGGTCTATTCTACATCTCTCACTCCTCCCAGAGTGTCCACACAGTTGTTAACTGGCCAATGAAAAGAAGAAGACAAGAGAGGAGAGGGCGCTGAGCCCATTGATAAGACAGCGGGAAACGTTCCAGCACCTGTTTGAGATTCCTTCGGTCGGCAGCTGTCTTGGCCATGATCATGCGGATGGTGTAGAGAATGAGTCCAGGCAGCCTCAGAAGCTCCATGCCGTTGCCAATAAAGGCTGAGGCGATGACGTAGTTCACAAAGAAGGCACCTTGGTCAGGCAGGAAGACACACCTAAGGGATAGCCTCGGTCAGGGCCAAGGATAGAGACCAGGCAGGAGACTGGGGGAAAGGGAAGGTCCTAATAAAACAGGAAGGGCAGGAGAGAGTGACCTCTCCCTTGGGGGATAATCTTTTGGGTGGGCTAAAGAGATAAGCAAGTGAACTATGCCATCATGCCAAGAACACAAGAAGGCAGGCAGGGCAAGAGTCCTTGGAAAGGACAGTAGGCGTGTGGGTGCTTGAGTGTGCTTACAGCATATGTCTGAGCTATTCAGACAAACAGATCCCACGAGGACAGTCAGTTCAGTATTATAGTTTAGTTAACCTGCTGCTTCCCTTCCCAAGTGTGCCCACCCCCCCAAGTGGATGGGTTTGCTGTAAATAAGTTTCAGAGGATGAGTAAGGCTCTGGCTAATTGAAAATTAGATAACAGAAAATTAATAACATTTCCATAAGCACAGTAAAAAGTAGGTCAGCTCACAAACATGTTGACAAGGTAGGTTCCACAGGCATCCACCCCACAAGTGGCTGAAATCCCAATGTGGGCCAGCAAAGCCCAAGGCCTTGCTTTTGGAGGGGGGGGCATGGAAAAGAGGGGGAAATGAGGGAAAATGTGTTTTCCTGCAGCACAGATTTCAACCTGAAAACTTCTGCACTGGGTTCCCCCTTCATCCTGTGCAGGCTTCCATTCCTCTGTGGGGTATTTGCCCCTGGGAGTATGCCAGACAGATGGGTGGAAGACCAAGGGTTATGTGTGTGGGGAGATGTTATGGGTACCACTTACTCCAATCTCACTGAGGTCTCAGAGGAAGCTTTGTCAAACAGCCACCGGAAGAAAAAATCTAGACTGGAATAGAAACAGATCCCATGAGATTATTTTCACTATCCACAGAGACAGATGCACACACACTTTTTCTCTAATCCAATAGCAGGGGCTATATCTGTTCCCTGTAAGGAATTACAGAAAGTTAGAGCTGAAAGAGGCCTCTGAGATCATCTAATCTAACCCCTTCATTTTATTTCTCTCTCTCTCTCTCTTTTTTTTTTAGCACTTTTGGGTTCTTTAGTGGGTATACTTTTTTAAAAACATACACACCAAATAAAAAACTATTATATGGAAATAATAATGTGTGTATGTCATACATACATATATACACACACACAAACACACACACACACACAAAAACAGAATGGAAAAAGAAGACTGTATATGGAACTGCTGGTCTTGATTATGTACAGCTGGCTTTTCCTTTTAAATATAATAAATTCAACTTATACTTTCAAAGCTCTCCTATTTGTCTATGTTTCCTTCTAGACTTCCTTCTGTTTTCTTCTGTGCATTAAAAAAAAAGTTTCAATAACCCATTTTTCTTTCTTTTCTTTAGTAACTCTATTACTAGCTTCCCTCTTCTTCTGATCCTGCCTCCCTATAAGTGAAAAAGAAAAACAAAAAACTCTGATAACAAATATACAAATTAAACAAAACAAATTCTGTGATGTCAATGGGCCTTAAAATGTATGACTCATTCCACATCTTGATTCTGTCTCTGTCAAGAGATGTAATCCCTACTTTTTTAACAGCTATCAAGGCTTATCAAGGATAAGGGATCTGTCCAAGGTCATCCTACTAGTAAGAAGAACTGGGATTCAAACCCGATTCTCCTAACTAGAGGTCTATGGCTTTTCCCACCATACTGTGCCACCTCTCTTCTGTGACTTTTAAATAGGACACATATGGTCAATGACTAGAGCTTCCCCAAGTGACATGGCTAAAAGGTGGTTTTGCTTTTAATTATCCATGTAAAAAGGGGGAAGGTGAGATGAATGCCTAATTCAAACTGAACCCTCTACAATCATACTCTAAATAGATAACATATAAATGAAAAAAAATAAAAATACTCATAGGTCAATGCAAATGAAATTCCATATTTCTGTGGAGAAAGACATGGATCTCAAAGTAGAAAGTGATGCTTTATACCTGGTAAGACCCAGAGAGGGAAGGATCAGCACCATGAAGATCAGGAAAATGTACACCTTGATCATCATTATTCTGTTTTCTCCTGACCTGAAGAAAAGAAAAGGTGAGCGTCCAAAAGATTCCCACCATGCCCTCCAGTGATCCTTTTCAGGTTCCCTGTCATGTACATACAGGCCAAAGCCACCCCTCTAAGAGGGGAAGGCTGGGGGACCCTGATCACTCACTTGGTCCAGTGGGACTCCAGCAGTGTGGAATAGTAGACAATGGAAGGCAGCAGTGCGGAGAAGGACCACAGAAGAAGTGTTGGAAAGAACTGACTGATTATTGGGTCCTAGGGAATAAGAGCCAGAGTCAGCCTCAGCAAGGGCAGGCAAAACAGGGCCCACTGGACTCCACCTCTATTGAGAAAGGACCTGCGGGCATCAGCACTCAGTGCCTGAGAGGGGAGGAATAGGGGTCTGAAAAGAATAGCTGACAATTAACCAAACACCAGAATATTTCATTCCTTTCCCCCGACTCACACATATCTTGTGTGAGTCGGGGGAAAGGAATGGGAAAGTGAATATCTCAGCCAAGCCAATTCCAGGTAAACCAATGACTATATCCTCAAGCTGAAATATGATGCAGTAAAATTAACTTCATACATATAGTGGGATGAAACTTAAACTGGGAATCAGGCACCATGGATTCTTCCAACTCCAATTTTGCCACTTAAGGAGTGATGTGACCTTGGACAAGTCACTTCACCTGAGGAAGCCTCACTCTTCCCATATGTAAAATATGGTGGTTGAACTAGGCAGGTACAACCAAGGACAAGTCACTTAACCTGATGGAACCTCATTTTCTTCATCTGTTAAATGGGATAGTAATACTCATATGCCTACCCAATAGTGATGATGTTTGGTTCAAATGAAAGACTGCATGTAAAATGCTTTGCAAATGCTGAAGCGTAACATAAATGTCAGTTATTTTCATAGGATCATAGCTCTACAGCAGGAAGACAGCTCAAAGGCCATAGCCCAAATCTCCTCATTTTATAGACAAGGAAACTGAGGCACAGAGAGGTTGAATGATTTGCTCAGGGTCACAAAACTAATAAATGAATGAGAAAGGATTTGAACTTAGGTCTGCCAGCATTTTATTCACTATACTATCTAGCCATCTCCCACCTCATTACCATTATTATAATTTTAAGGGATTCCCAGTCTTAAGTGTTAGGGATTTTTCCTCTTCTCTACTCAAGACTTAAAACTACAGAAAATGACAAAACATGTGTGGCCCCTTCATTCCTCTCAGTCTCTAGCCTTCTTATTTCAATTACCATGCCAATTTCTCCCTCTTCCTTTCCTTCCCTCTCATCCCCACCCTCCCATCTCCCCAAGGTGGAGACCCAGTACTCACATTTAGGGCATGAATGGGTTTGGTGACATTGAACTTGTCCATGGTGGAGATAATGATGGAGGGAGTGGTCAGGAAGAACAATACTACGAAGAGGCTGAAATTGATGCCTGACCACTGGAACCACCATTGGAGGCCCTGAATAGAAAGATTCTTCCTATAGGAGAAAGGAAGACAGCAAGGGAAGAGAAACTCATTTTCAATGTTTCCTAACCCGCCTCAGCATTTCCAGCTAGAAGCAGGCCCACATGTAGAGATATCGCCCACGTCCAGAGACTCAGAGGTATTAAGTGTATGTAGTCCTTAGACAGCTAAGACTGGGGTCATAGAGGATTCCTATTGAGGGATTTAATGCAAAAACCTGACTTTGGACATTCAGGAGTTAACGTAAGACCCACCTCTGCACTGGCTTTCAGCCGGAGGCAGGCCAAGCCACTGGATCCCTGCAGGCTTGGAGGGGAAACAAAAGAGGTGAGTTCACCCTCCTTGGGTTACCCACTGGACGACATATACGTTTACTTTGTAACTGTAACTTGGAGACATAGCTGGGGCTGTGGAAAGGGTACTGAGCCAGGAGCCATGAGAAAAACAGTGGGCTCTGGTTCCTGCTCTGCAGCCTACTAGCCATGTGATGGGCTCTCAGTTTCCATACGTGTGTATGTGTATATGTGTGTATAGATATGTTTGATTTACATATACATGTATGTATAAAGTTATAGATGTGTTAATTGTATATATATAATTCACATGCGTTTATATTTTTATGTGTAAATATAATTTATGTGTATATTTATATTGCATGTGTATTTTATATATGTATATTTTATACATTTATACATAATTTGTATATGTAAATATATGTATAGATATAATTTATATGTGTGCATCTATGTATATATATGTGTGTGTATGTATATGTATATTTACATATGTATTCCTCCATTAGCATGTAAGCTCCTTGAGGGAAGCGATAGTTTTATTTTTTTCTTTGTATCCTTAGAGATAAACATGTGTTTAGCACATAGTAGGTGCTTAACTGAACTAAGAAATAGTATCACCACATTCATAGGGAGCCAACTGAATTAGTAACAAATAAGAGAAATTTCCCAAATTATAAGATTGATTCTCCACTCCCACTACCCCCTCCCCCACTGCAATTAAGCAAGTTTTCCTTATGCTGCATTGTGAAAGAGCCAAGGAGAGAACACTTCGGGCTTGAGAAGGGAAGAAGGCAAAGTTAGGCAACCTGCAGCACTGAGGTATTGCTACAGACCTCCGTGTTTTTCTCTTTTCCAATTCTTCCTAGCATCTAGTACAGTGCCAGGTACATAATAGGTACTTAAGAAATGCCTGCTGATTGATTCTTCCAGTTTATGCCTTAGACCAGGTATTCTTAACGTTTTTTGCTTGTTTGTTTTTTGGTATCACATGCTTTGAGCAGCACGGTAAAACTGTGACTCTCTTCTTAGAATAACATTTTAAAATAATTAAAGGCAATGCTAAATTTCAGTTAAACATTAGTGAAGGTAAAGATGTCATTTTTTTCCTGACGCAAGTCATGACCCCTTGAAATCTATCCACAGACCCCACATTGAGAACTCCTGCCTTAGAATTACTACGGAACAGAGGAGCTGCTAACCCATGGCCCTGGGGGGGAGGGGTAACTGCATTAATAAGCTACATGTAGGGACTCCCAGAAGCTAAGTCATTAATAGTCTGAACTTCCACCACTTAACCTGTCATAGTGTTACTGGGGAGACAGGTCAGAAAGTGATTAGTGAGACAACTAGGCAGAATTCCACTAAACTGCACACAGTGTGGTACAGTGGTTAGAAGTGGTGTCCTCTAAGTCAGGACAGACCTGGTTTCCTACCCTTTCTGACACTCATTAACTTTGGAAAAATCAGTTTCACTTCCCTCGTCTATAAATGGGGATAATAACATCTGCCTGTTGTGTTTACCTCACAGGTTTATTGTGATGACCTAATGAGAAAATGGATGTAATGACCTTTGCAAACTTTAAGGCCCTGTATAAATGTGAGTTATAACTACTATTATCATCAGCATAGTGGGGTGGGAAGGTCATATCCTACGGTTCCCAAGGATTTGTGCCGGACATGACTATGAACAACAGATGCAAAAATCACTGTAATAAATGCAAGTCCTTTCCACCAATACCCCTCCCCAAATCCAGTCCCTTTGGAGTCAGGCCAAGAGCTCACCAACAAATGTCCTCTGGATAGGAGGCAAAGGCAACGGTCCAGCTGGACGGGCAGAGTTCTCTGCTGTAGGATGAGGGCTGTGGCTCACCTTTGCATCTGCAGCCCTGACACTTGCAAGCGTTGAAATCTTTGAGGATGCTGTTGAGGCAAAAGACAGACTGGCACAGACCCAGCATGCAGAAGGGGCTCATTCCTACTGTCGGCAAAGACTAGGATTCATTGGAAGACATTCTGAAAATGCTTGAGGCAGTGAGATGACCACCTCTACCTTCCTATGAGGCATTGCTGTCCCTGAAGTCTCGTCTGTCCAAGATCATGGAGCTTTCTCCAGTCTTCCAGGCTAATGGTCCTGCTCATTGCTATACCTTCAGGTCCCACTTTGTCTCTTCTCTCTCTCGAAATAAACTTCCTCAGAATATTCCTCCTTCCAATCACAGGCCTTTTTCTATCCCAGGCTCATCCTCCACTCCTCCTGTTATTCCTGTAGCTCTGAAGCCCCCCAGTGAATGATGTGATACTTATCCAAGGGTAACACTGAAAGAGATGCTCTCCCAAGGTCCTAGATATATCAGAGACATGGGGTGGGGGGACGAGCTGGTTGGCCTTCAGGGTCTGAGTAGGGGAGGGAGGGAGGGAGGGAGGAAAAGATTTCAGATGGCTACATTTTCCTTGGCGAAAGGCTGCTCCCAAGTATAGAGTGGCAAAAAGAGAGGCGCCTTTCATTGTCCCTCTTTTGACATGAGTAACTCTAACTTAGAAAATGGCTTCTGTTTAGTTAAGTTGAAAAATGACATTTACTTTTATCTTGGTTCCCCTCAAGCCCTCCATGCTTCTATATTGCTTCTCAGATGATAAAACAGACAATCTTATTTCTGGAAATGAAGATTAGCCCACCTACAAGACTAATACTAACAGAAATTCCGAGAGGTATGAAACTCCTTCAGGCTCAGTGGTGGCAAAGGGTGTGATGACTGTCTTCTTAAAGGAGTCTCTTTGTGGCTATATGTGCTTCTTGTCATCTTTGGATCTTTAATAAAGTTCCCCTAGATGATTTATGAGCAAGGTACCATGACAAAAGGAAGAGAGTCTTCCAGATGATGATGTCTTCTTAAGGCTAGTGATACCGGGGAGACTTTCCCTCCAATGGATCAATGGTGCCTCTCAGATATTCCCACATTCAATGCTTTAGTGAGTGGGTCACAGGTGGATATAACTGGGTTGGGAAGAAACCTGGGACAGCAAGCTCACATTCTCCCCAGACTTAATGTTATTCCTGTCTTCAGACTTCATCTGAAAATTGGGGAATTAAAAAGTTGGAGAAAGGATCACTGTGTTTGTAACACTGATATCATGGGTGTGGGAATGGAATGGAGGGAAGACTTTTTAAATCTGGCAAGAAGGACAAAGCCTGAGCTACAGTAGGATGGTTCTCCAAGGTGACACCAAAGCTCGTGCTGATGAAAACAAGGTCAGCGGTGAATCATTACATGAACCAGTTAGCAATCCCTGTTCTGTGATCATAAATGACTAAACCCTTTATCTGTCAGCCATCTCACAAATGTATACCATGGGTCATAAAGGAGAGGAGCTGAGAAAGTGAGGATGGTTCATTGTAGCCCCTCACTTCTATGGCAGAAGAAGAGAAGGCCATATGTCCTAGTCATGGTGAATTAACAGTATAGTCTCGGTATCTAAAAGTTAGCTCACAAAGGTCCGGGGCAAGTAGGAAATGAACAAAAGATGAACAGAGACAGGAAACAGAGAGAGCTTTTGAGGAAAGCAGGATCCAGAGCCCATTCCACAAACTGTATCCACTCACAAGGTAGCCATGGAGTGCTCCTGGAAGGTGACAAAGGCCATTCCCAAGGGGTGATCTTGAACAGTGCATTCCTCTTGTGATAACCTTTGCAGCAGCCTGTCTTTCATCTGGGTGTAATAGACGATGGCATCTTCCTACCGGGAAAACACTGACTTGATCCACAGCAACATGATAAGGAGAGGTGGGACACTGCCCAGATCCAGAAAACCACAGGACCTTCCTAAGTACCACATAGTACCATAGTACAAATAACCTGTCCAGTAGGAACTCAACCCATGTAAACTGACTGAGATAAAGAGGAGGCAGCTCCCAACAGCTTGTGGAACAGTACCTACTCCTGTCTAACTAAAGGGTCAAGGTCCTCACCTTCTCACATCCCTGGATGTCACAGAAACAGAACTGGCCACAGGGCTTGGGGTTGATGAACGTGCTCTCACCGGTCTTTGTCTGCAGGTTAGTGTAATAGTTCAGGCTTTTCTCAGCTTTTTTTCTGAAAATTGGGGGGCGGATCAAGAGAAACAAAAAACACAATGTTTTTCAAAGTGTGGTCAGACAACAGGAGTGGACATGAGAGTGCTACTTGTGGCCACCGGGATAAAATTTTAATTAAATTCAGAGATTTATTAAGTGCCAACTATGTGCAAGGCACTGTGCTAGGGGAGGAGACAGACAAAAATAAAATAGTCCCTGCCCTCAAGAAAACTTATAGTCTATGACAAACTTTTTTTTAAAAATTAAAATTGTTTTATTATTTCAAGCAGAGGTCTCACTCACTTTATAGCTGAGGAGACATGGCTCACCAAGGAAGATAGGACCAGAACAAGACAGTCTTGCTTAATCCACAAGGTTCCTTTCCCCCACTCTCACAGGACTCCTTGACATCATGCGTATTCCCCTAACTTACATTTCATTACACAGATAAATTAGCTTGGCGACATCATAGCATAGTTGGACCTCTACTACCGTACAGGTGGGATAGGCATCTCTGCAGCATGGAAAAAAAGAGGAAAAAGGACACAAAGTAGGCATTATGGAAAAGAGCAAACTCCACTCAGAGAATATCATCATTCATTTAAAATGGCAACCAATGGCCAAAATGAGCTTCTCATAGGTTGTTTTTATGGAGAACTCCTAAAAGTCTAGAAAGGGGTTCTTAATCTGGGACCCATGAACTTTTTTTTTAAGATTTGGATAGCTATATTTCAATATAATTGGTTTACTTTGAAATCTCATATATTTTTATGCATTTAAAAAACGTTATTGGTGCTTCCTGGTTGGTCTTGCTGCCACAAGTCTCTCTCTGCTCCAGTCCATCCTCAACTCAGCTCAAAGTCATCTTCCTTAGGCACAGATTTGACCATATCACTTCCCTACTTGATAAACTCCATTTGATCACCTATCCCCTCCAGCTTCAAATATACAATCTTTCATTCACAACCTCCTTAGTGCCCCACATCATCACCGCCCTCCTCCCTCCCGTCCCCCACATGCTTTGTGATCTGGGGACAATGTCCTCCACGCAGTTCTTAGAACAAAACATTCTGATCTCCGGACTCTGGGCATTTTCCTTGGTTGTCCCCTATTCCTGGAATGTTCTCCCTCCTCATCTGTGCCTCCTACCTGCCCTGGCTTCCCTTAAATCCCAGCTAAAATCCCACCCTCTACAGGAAGCCTTTCCCAATTCCTCTTAATTTTAGTGCCTTTCCTTTGTTAATTATTTCCTATTTATCCCGTACAGTACATAGCTTGTTTGTACATAGTTATTTGAATGTTGTCTCCCCAATTAGACTGTGAACTCCTCAAGGGAGTCTTTCATTGATCTCCAGCACTTAAAACAATGCCTGGCACACAAGGGGTGTAAGTGTTAATTGACTGAATGACTGATAAATTGCTTTTCATTCATTCTAGTCCAGCTACTCTTCCAATTTTTGTTTTCTGAGTATGTTAACAAAACTTTTAGGAGAAGAGACTTTGAGGGACACACTCTAATTCCCTTGGAAAATCTCATCTAGCCTGCTTGTACCCAAAAATCTGCTGGAGATCAGTACTCTTTGGATATTTTGGCATATAAGATAGTATGTTGATAGAGCTGACGCCGGCAAAATAAATTTATGACTTTATTCAAGAAAGATGTTTAACAGGAACTATCCACACATGATTATTAAAGGAAATTTCCTATTATAAACATACAAATCAAAGTTTCTCCTTTTCAAGTACAATATTCCTACTCTTACTACTTATGCCATCTTTGGCAAATCACCTGAGGCTATATGTGGTATAACTATGTGGTAGGGTGCTGGGCCTGAAGTCAGGAAGGCCTGAGTTTCAAATCTAGTCTTAGGCGCTGTCTAGCTATATGACCTTGGGCAAGTTACTTAACTTTCCCCTCATCCAAAGGGATTAGTTACTAAAGAACCAGCATGGTTCCACGACCAAATATTCTCAATGAGGCCACCCCAGGGCAGGTCCTGGAGCCTGACTTCCACGTAGCTCTGGGATATTTCCAAGGTTGACCTAATAAATAAGAGTGTTTTCACCCCTGCTGTGGGCTTGGCCCTAGGAAGCTCCACCATTGCCCTTCTTACCTGAAGTGGTTTTCTAACGTCTCTTTCCTGGTGTTTTTGGGGAGCCCTGTAATAAACAGAGTGCGCCTCACCTGTAGGAGAAAAGCAAAAACCACCGTCTTACTTTTGTAAATAACACCTTTAAGACACGTCCCTCAGGGCTACTGCAATGCCCAAATGAGTCTTGTACAAAGAGCCCTTTGCAAACCTTAATAAATAATAAATAATTTATGTATGACAGGGTCTCCCCCCCCCCAAAGCATTCTCCAGTTTACAGAGTATTCTTATATAAATAATTTCATTCCAACCTCACAGCAACCCTAGGAGGTAGATAGACCAGGCAGGTGTCATTCTCCCCATTTTACAGAGGAGGAAACTGAGGCCCAAAAAGGCCCAAGGACTTGCCCAATGGTGCTCACCCAGTAAATGGCAGAAGGGAAACTAGGATCTAGATCCTCTGACAGCTACTCCTGCAGGGCTTTGAGAAACTCAAAGAAAACAGCACAATTTGTTTTGCTCTTTCCAGAGTCCCAGAAAGAAAACATCTGGGAAACTAGTGGGTGGTTTATTGGCTTTTGCTTTGGGCTTTTCCGCTGCCTTGAACAGAAGGGCTTCATTACTTAGCACCTTCTTCAGAGGCCTACAAAGCGCAGGAAACCACAACGGTCGTTTTATTTGCAAGGTGGGAAGATTGAGAAACAAGAATCCAGAAAAGAGAACTGTCCGGCTCAAGGCCACACGGTAAATCTAAGGCCCCCCTAAATGCAGAACAATACACCTCGGGGAACTAGAGTTGCCCTCAATCATATGGAGTGTGCTTGACCATAAGAAGAGTGGAGAGATGGAGTATTATGTGTGGGGACCAGCAAGAAGGCAGATGCTGCTGGATCTTGAGACATAACACTTCTGACTTGATTTCTACTTAGAGAAGAGATTAAAAGATTTTTTTTTTTAAGATATGACTCAGGTTAAGATATGATGCAGGTTGAAGCATATTTGTGTGTGTGTGTGTGTGTGTGTGTGTGTGTGTTTTGGAATTTGGAAATATGATTTGCATGATTGCACGTGTATAACCTATAAGAAATTGCTTACCGTCTCAAGGAGGGGGAAGGTGAGAGACGGGAGAAAATTTGAAACTCAAAATTTTTTAAAAATGAATGTTAAAAATTGTCTTTATATGTAATTGGGAAAAAATTAAATATTATTTAAAATAAAAAAATAAAAACAAAGATATGACTCAGGAAGTAAGAAGACCCAATACCCAATGACTACAATGATATAAATAAAAAAGATAATCAAAAGGAAGCTAACATGAGTAAACAAAAAGACCAATGATGATTTTGGAGAACAAAAAATGAAACAGACAGACCTCTCTCCTCATGGCAGAGGGGTGGGGAAACGCAAGGATAGAATGGAATATACATTGTAAGACAAAATCGCTGTATCGAGTGCTTTTGCTTTGTTTTTTTAAGATATGACTTGAGAATTGGGTACAAAATGTCAGAAATCTCAGCAGAAAAGGACCAGTCAGCAAAATGAAAAATAAAAGAGTCAAAACTCCTCTGTCCTTTAGACCTTGGAAGACACAGCTGAAAAGCCCAGAACGAATTCAGGAGCAAATCTACGATCTTGGGCTCCAGGCCCTTTCTGACCTCAAGCAGAGATCAGAATGAATTGGGGGAGTTCCCACTGGGCCTTCCCTCTCTGTACTCTTCCCATTTCTGGGCAGAGGCTCTGGCTATGTTCACCGACCAGGTTTTCCTCTTTGTACTTGATGGACTGCGTGTGGTGCCTCATGAAGCCAACAGTGAGCAGCAAGTAGATGACAGCAAAGATGGTGTGCAGCCAGAGCAAATCATTTCTGAGGAGAAGAGAGAAAAAGAGGTTCAGAGTTGGGTTTAGGGGGCACCAAAGGGAGTGCATACAATCCTCTTTTTTGGTTCCACTTCATGGACGTTCATCTGCTAGCCACTTCCCCTTATCAGACTACCTTTCCTCTACTCTGTATATCTTGTACATACATAGTTGTTTGCAGGCATGTTCCCCCTTTAGAAGGTGTTCTTGCCTTTCTTTGTACTCCCGATGCTTAGCACAGTGCCTTGCAATCCTAGCATTTAGTAAAAATGCCTAATTCCTCAGCTTTGTGGCAGTTTCTGGCCCTGGGCCCACTGCTGTCATCCTTGGGCAGGGGCTAGAAAAGCTCTTGTTCTATGGAAAAGGAAGGGGTAGGAGGAAGGCAGAGCAGAGATTCAAACATGAGGGATAAAGAAAAGAAAGGTGCCTAGGACAAGATCAACAGTCTATACTCTGGGTCCTGAAGTAAAGATGTCAGAAAGCTCCCTCCCTGCCCTTATTCCTTGTTAACTATAAAATATCTGTATATCCAGGGCATCAGGGGCTCCTCTTTTTGTAAGCACCTCCTGCAAAACATGGGTTTTGTCTGTGACATTCATGGCCACACTATCACAGCCAGGGAGAGTTCACAAATCTGCTTGCACTTTCCCTCTTCTCATCAATATCAATAAATCAACAAATATTTATTAAACGCTTACTAAGTGCCAAGCACTGTGCCAAGTGATGAAGATATGAAAACAAAAATTAAATAGTCTCTGCCATCAAGGAATTTACATTCTAATGGAGGGGATAAGTGCATTTATGTGTATCTACAGCTTAAGTTTAAAGTGAATAAATACAAACCAGTCTAAGTTCATTAAATACGAGGTAGTTTGGAAGGGAGGGTACTAGCAGTTGTAGGGGGCAGATAGGAAAGTCTTCATATACAAAATGATGCTTGAGTTGGATCTTAAAGGAAGAGAAGGACCCAGAGACACCCCACTCCCTACGCTTGCTCCCTTCATAACCTCACTCAATTTCATACTTTCATCTACCATCTCTGACTCTCAAAGCTGTATCTTTAGCCCTGAACTTGATTCTGAGCTGGTGCCCTGCTTCTCCCACTGCCTATAGGTTGTTTCCAACTGTATATCCAACAAGCATTTCAAAATCAGCTTGTCCAAAATGAATTTTGTCTTCCACCCTAAACCCACTCCTCTTGTCTTCTGAACTTGTGGTGGCCTTTCCTGGGCTCTCTGGTCTGGCTTCCCATCAAGTTCCTCCCTGAGAAGAAACACACATGAGAGCAAGGATTGCTGGCCTAGCCTCTGCCAGGTTCATACACTCCGCAGTTCCGACACTCACCCAGTCTGCAGATTTGCTATTGTCGTCCTCCCAAAACTGTAAGGATCTTTATCTGAAGACAAAACACAGACACGCTGTCCTGAGACAGTCTTGAAGACGATTGATAGGGAAAGTCAGCTTGTGTTTATAGAACTCTGTGTAAGGTGTTGAAATAAAATGTTGTCTAGCCTCCAAACCAGTGATTCTCATTTCTCAGGAAATTAGAACACATCATCCAGGGTTCGCTTTGGAACACCATCCTGAATTTTTTTCCTTTTAATATCCAGTATGCATGCATTTTTATAAGTCAAAATAAATTAAAATTTAGTTCTAGGTAACTTCATTACAACCCTTAGGATAATTAGAAACATCGTAGGGCATCACAAAACTAGGCTTGGGAATCTCTACCAGGGATGAAGATTAATTTCAGCATTTGAAAATGAGATCCCTCATGTAATACTTGAGGAGGGGGAAAAGTCACAGAACGTAGAACTTAACTGAAGAGAGTTATAATGTGACAAAAGCACTGAATTTAGAAACAAAAGACCTATGTTCAAATTTCAGGTTTGTTATATAACATATTTGTGTGACCTTGGCTAGGTCTCTGGCACTCCGACTTTCTCAAATCTGAATTCAGCGCTTAATCCCTAGAGATCCATGCTGGATCTTTGTCAATGAGCTCTAAAAGGGGACCCTGCTCTGGCCTCTCCCTTCTCCAATCAGAAGAGTGAGTAGGGAAAGTTCTTACCCAGTAAATCGCCTGAGAGATTGACAGGCAGGATGACACACAGAGACAAGATGCTGATCACCACCAGCAGGAAGATGATATGGCGTTGGAAGGACAGATAGTGTATGGCATCATCTCCACACCACTCCTGGATCTGCTCATCTCTGGGCAGACACAGACACAAACATAGAGTGTCAATTGAGTAGCTTGGGCCAGAAATTCCCCCAGAACCCTGCTGCTACCCTGGTTTGTGTTGATAGCGTTTTACGCAACCACCCAAGTGTGTAAAAGTGTGTGCACACATGTGTGTGTATACATCCCAAAGATCTTTCTGCCTGTACGAATCAATCAACAAACATTTATTAAACATGGACTATGTGCCAAGCACTGAGCTGAGTGCTACAAAGCACTTATCCCTAAGCGCTAGCAATGCAAAGACAAAAATGAAGCAGTCTCTGCCCTCAAGGAACTTCTATTTTATAGGACAAGCCAAGATGCTAACAAGATAGATTCTGGAAACCCCAATCAGCATTACATTGGGCAACTACACAGGAAGACAGCCCAACCTCCAAGGAGAAGGTTCCTGGATGGCAGGTGGCATCCCCTACTGCATTCCCCTCTCTCCATCTTTGTTCACCACAACGGAAATCATAAATGGGAGAGAAGAAGTGCCAGGGAAGTCCAACTCTAATCCTAAAGGCTGTCCCCTCTGCCCTGATCTCTCCCTGCTGGGATCTGAAGACCAGAGGAATAAAGTGATAGGCTTTTTTTCCTTTATGATGCTGCTTTAGGGAAGTCTGGGGATAGGAAGAAACCTGAGATTAAAGATGTGAGAGCTGTGCCATGGTGGGGAAAGGATTAAACAAAGTTAGGAAGACCTGGGTTTGAATCTTGCCTCATACTTATTGACTGTCTGACCTTGGGCAAGTCACAGCCTCTCTGAATCCATTTCCTCACTTCTAAAATGAAAGATTGGACTAGATGGCCTCGGGGGTCCCTTCCAGTTATAAATGGATGATATCATGACTATTACCTTTTGCGTTGTAGAGGGAGAAGGTTGGCCACCTTTTGTTCAATGCTACCTGACAATGAGGCCCTTAGAGACCCACCGCTTCTCAGGAAGCCAGAAATCAATGTGTCCAACAGAGGAATGACAGTCCCATCACACCTCCAGACTTTTTAACCACATCCCACCTTCTGTTTTCAAACCCAGCTCTCTCCTGAGAACACCAATGGAGAAAGGATTGAGGAATAAGGAGGTCACTCCTCTGACTTAGCCTCAGGGACAAGAAGAGGGATGGACAGGCTCTGTGATTTCTTTTCTACTACTTCACACCATTCCCCTAAAACCCTGTCTCTCTTCCGAAGGCCAGGCGATACATGCCACACTCTGGTCCACTCACCTCTGGGTCCCTTTCCTAACTTCCTCAATTATTTTAGCATCTTGCTCATGGTTTTCCTCTCTGCCCTATCTCCTGCCACCAGCCTGAAGGATTTCAATATTCAGTCCCTTTAAGAGCTGGACCACACAATCCTTCAACCCCACAACCTTCTCCACCCCACTTCAGCTGCACATGGGCATGGCGATACCTCCCAAGGGTAGGGAACCTGTGGCCCCCAGGCCACATGTGGCCCTCTAGGTCCTCAAGTGCAGCCCTTTGACTGAATCCAAACTTCACAGAACAAATCCCCTTAATAAGAGGATTTGTTCTGTAAAACTTGGACTTGGTCAAAAGGCCAAACCCAAGGACCTAGAAGGCCACATGTGGCCTCAAGGCTGCAGCTTCCCCACCCCAGTAAGGCTTTACCATTCCTCAGAACCATGCCTCTTTCAAGTTCCCCAACTTCCAAAATTCTATTCCTATCCACAGACTCCAGCTCTTCCACCCTCTCATTCTCTCACACTAAAACTTATTTTTTGTTTTTATCATGACTACTGCAGAGCCATCGCTGTTCTCCCAACCCATCCTCCCACTCTGGCTTTATTTATTTCCACCCCCAGCTTGATGACCTTCTACTTTCATGTTTTACCAGCCACTGTCCCAGAACGCCTTAACCTTGACCTTGTACTGTCCTTCTTGCTTTGTTCATTTCATCCCTGAGTACCATCCTCTGCATCGTATTCCTCTGTTTTTGCTTCTCAGGCTGAGAAGGTCACACGACAGAGCTGATTTCACTCTAAATGGATGATCCATACCTTTAGCTGGGCTCTCACTGAAGTTCAAAAATCCTACTTTACTCCCTCACTAATTCTTCCCCAGAACACTGGCCTTGCTTCCTGCCTAGATCTCAAAGTCATCATCCTGGGAAGCAACTCCCAGAAAGATGCATCCAGGCAATTTCTTCTGCTGGTATTGTTGGTACAGCTACTATAAACTATAAACTTAGAAGAAAGTTCTTGGCACTGTCAAATGGTCCAACATCAGAAACTGGCACGATTTTATCAGTGAGAATGACATGGATGCATTACCATCTGCTTTGCTATTGCATCCTAAGGACCTTTTCATCTGACTTGAAGCTGAAACCTATATCTGTTCTCTCCCCCATTAGAATATGAGCTCTGTAAGAGCAGAGACCTTCTTTCCTTTCTATTTGTATCTCCTGTGGCTAGCACAGTGCTTTGCATGTAGTAAACACTTAATTAATGGGTTTTTTTTCATTTATTCATTCAATGGTAATCTTAATCAATCCCATATCTTTAACTACCACCTCTATGTAGATAACTCCCAAAACTCCATCTCCAACCCTGGTCTCTCTTCTGAGCTTGATACCTCTATCTCCAATAAAGTAAAGGATATCTCTATCTAGGTATCCCACAAACACCTCACATTCAACATGTCCCACAAACTAAGCTTATTCTCTTTCTCCCTAAACCCATTTCTCCTTCTGACTTTGTTGTTTCTGTCAGGGGTGCCACTATTCTCTAAGTCTCAAAGGTTCAAAATTCTGGGGTTATCTTTGAATCTTTTCTCTCCTTCACCTCTCATACCCAATCAATAATCAAATCTTGTTGAATCTAGCTATTCAATATTTTTCATGTCTGTGTTCCCTTCCCCCACCCCCACCTCTAATCCCACTGCCATTACAGGCCCTAGTTACTATCCACCAATAACCTCTGATAGGTATTCCTACTTCCATTCTCTTCCTACAAAATCACAAAATTTCTAAATTGGAAAGATCCTCAGTGGCCATCTAGTTTACCAACCTTCCCCAATCCTTATTATACTATAATACAACCAAATAGTCATCCAGTTTTTGTTTGAAGACCACTGACAGGGAAACCTAATATCTCCCAAGGCAGCCCAATTCCACTCTTAGATAACTCTAATTGTTAAGAATTAAGGGCAGGTAGGTAGCACAGTGGATAGAGTGCAGGGCCTAGAGTCAGGAAGACTCATGTTCCTGAGTTCAAAATTGATTTCAGGCATTCACTAGCTGTGTGACCCTGAGCAAGTCACTTTATCTTGTTTGCCTCAGTTTCCTCATCTGTAAAATGAGCTGGATAAGGAAATGGCAAAACACTCTAGCATCTTTGCCAAGAAAACCCCAAATGGGGTCACGAAGAGTTGGACGTGACTAAAATGACTTAACAACAACAAAGCTACCACACCACAATGGTGAATGGAAGTAAATGTCACAGTCCTCAAAGAGTTGAATCAACAGTATTACGCACCAGGACTCAAATAGGGCTCTCCCCGTCTAATTGCCTGGTTTTTACTATTGTTTGTTTGTTGTTTTTTTTTTTTAGTGAGGCAATTGGGGTGAAGTGACTTGTCCAGAATCACACAGCTAGGAAATATTATGTCTCTGAGGCTACATTTGAACTCAGGGCCTCCTGACTCAAGGGCTGGTACTCTATTCACTGTGCCACCTAGCTGCCTCACTGGTTTTTACTTCTAAACCAGAGTTCTTACTATTATTATGCCTTGCATACAATAAGTGCTCTATAATATTTTGTTGAATGAAGGAATGAATGATAGAAAAAAATAAACTATTTCCTTCATCAATTTTACTAGAAACATTCTTCTCACCTCATAGCTTCTATTAGCTTTTGCTAGGAGTAGGAGAAAAACAGAAAAATACCAAACCCCTCGTAGCTTAACTAGACTTAGTGTTGGTGATTTGCAACTAATAAAGAACTCTTAGTTACAGTTTTTATCACTGGTAGTTTTTCATGGAGCTAGCTTAGAAATGAGGGGGAAAACAGATTTCTATTCCCCCGTTTTTACAGAGTGACCTGGTCCAAGTGGAAAAAGGCCAATGACATACCCAATCCTGTCTAGAAAGAAAGCAATATACAAAGCTAAGGGCTCTAACCAGTGTCAGAATTTACATTTTGGGTAACTGAGAAAAAAAAGGGAGCCCCACCCACAGCTGCCCTTCCTCCTCTGTCGTTCCCAGTGCACACTCAACTGAACTCTCTTTGTGACCACCTCACATTCCCAAGATGGTCTACTGCAAAGCATAAGGTCCCTCTACACTTCAGCAACTTATGCTCTGTTTTTGTAGGTTCCCTTCCTTTTGGGCACCTCCATTTCCAAACCAGAAGGACTCCTGGGATGAAACTTATGCTTTAACCCCAAGATAATGCTTTTGATGCAATAAAAAAAGCACACCCCACCCTATAAAAACACGATCATTCTACACCCCAATGCAGCTTGGCTCTTCCCTCACTAATCTTCCTACCACCCAAATAAATGAGCTGTAACAAAGGATCCAAGTGACTGTTCCCGCCATCACATACTTACTGCATTCGGAAAACAGCAGTTAGCCATGAACAACACCCCTGGAAAGAAAGAACAATTTGATTAGCTTCTAAACATCTGTTGCTTTGAGGAGACAGCTGTTTTCATAATCTTTGAAATCAGACAACAATTTAATCTCCTATTATGCTGAAAGCAGTTTATCTGTCCCCAATTTTGCAAGCTGCCCCTTTGTCCCCCTTAAGACAGTCTCCATATGCTCCTTGTTAAGAAAAAAAAAATCACAGCCATGCACCATGTGTGTGGAACACCGGAGAAAACATTTCTTTCAAGTCTCAATAATTTTGGGAAAAAATATTTTTAAAGCTCAAGAGGACCCAGTCCAAACACTTAAATCAAGAGATGATGACATCTCACAGCTGATTTGGAGACATTAATGCAGAGCCTGTCAGTAGAACATTTGGAAAACAATTGATGGCGCCTGAGTCAAAATAGCAATTTGGGGCCAAACTTTTAGAATGAAATCTAAGGGGAGGAAGTTGGCATTTGTCTGTAGACTTTAGAAGCAATCACAATTATTTTTAAACTTAGAATTCCCTGGGGCTTAATACTCCCTTAGCTGAGAAGTAGGTCAGCAATCCAGCTGCTGATCACCTACTACATGGGCACCTCTTCTTTCCTCTGCTACCTTATTTCCCCTCCCCTCTCCCTCTCCTTCCTTTTTTACCTTCTGTCCTATTCTCTTGTTCTTCTTCCTCTCATTTCCGTCCCCTCTTACAAACTACATCTTCTGCCTACCAAGTGGGTCTCCTGGGACTTGGCAGACACGAGGGTTAAAGGATTACTGACCTCTGTCTTACCTATTACCTCTGTCTCATTCACATGAATTCTCTAAGTATCCCAATACTACACTAACCCATGACTCATCTTTCCAAATAGTATTCATTGTATTCTCCATTGTTGTGTCTGTAGCGCCTGTTGTCACAGGCACATTGCCAGTTCCTTTGATGAGCATGGGCTGTTACCTGTGTGATCTTGGGAAAAGTCACAACCTCTCTGAATCTCAGTTTCCTCCTCCATAAAGAGAGAGGGTTTGACTAGATGGTCTCTGGGGTCCCTTCCGCTCCAAATCAATGACATTCTAATTATTGCTGTTATCACTGTTAACATCAACAAAACAACTCATATTTAGGCAGCATTTTGACATCTACAAAGCTCCTTCTTCACAACAGCCCCACAAGGGAGATAGTGGAAGTATCATAATTTTATGGCTAAGGAGGCCAACTCTCAGAGAGGTTAAACAATTAGCACAGGAGCACACATTTCTGAGTTCAGGAGTCAGGGACTCAGTCCAATTCTCTGGATCCAGGAGTCTTTCCCCTAAACCTGCCTGCCCCCTCGTGGTGTAGCTAAGGACTGGAAGTAGTCCTCCTCCCAAATGTCTGCTGTGAACTCTCAGAACCCACAGCCCACAATGCTCTGTCCTTTAAAATACTAACCAGATCTGATTCAAAGTCGTGATGCCCTGAGGAAGAGGAAGACAGCCTCTGATATCTGGACTCTCTGGGACATACAAGGAGAGAAAGATATGTAAGCCTGTGTAATTGTGCCTGGGGCACACGGCCCACAATTATCCCACCTTTCCCAGCTGGGATTCCATTCCCCATCCTAGGGTTACCCCATTCCCTTAGAGGAGAATCAACTACGTTTGCTTCCTTTAACACCACTCGGAGAATTATTGACTCAGATGGAAAGGAAACTCAGCTTTCTACTTTCCCTGTTGCTAAGTTCTAGCTAAAGAAATTTAAAAGGTATTGTGAGACTGTCTAAAGTCACTCTTTGCCTTTGATAGGCCTCTAATCAACAGAACAAAATCAATGCAAATAATGTAAAACTTACCTGAGGATATCATAACTGTTGCAAAATACAAAAGATTTTTAAAAACCTGTAATCTCTGAGAAGAAAAACTATGTGGCTCTGGGCTGTTAGCAGATTGTAGGTTCACACACACATAGATTGTGGACCGAATTTGTCCTTAACCTGAGCAGAAGGTGGTCTACCCCATGCAGGCCCTGTGTGTGTCATCCATCTAAATTTCCCAGGCCCAACTTTCTGCAGGAACACTGTTAGGTGGAAAATTTGACTGGGGCAGCACACTTACCATCTATGTATAGGTACTTTACAGTAGTGGAGGCAAACTCACTCTGAAAGGGATCCCTAGGGGCTGCATATTGATTTAGAAAACCACAAATTAGCATTATCTATGTTTTGTGATATTATTATTTACTAAACATTTCCCAATTACATTTTAATCTACACTCTGGGAGTTCTGCAGGCACAAGCTGACACCTCTGCTTTACAGATTACAAATCACTATATTGCAGTTTGGTATAGAGCAGGAGTTCTTAACCTGGGATCTACAGACCCTACCCCCCCCCAAAAAAAAGAGAGTCTATAGATAGATTTCAGGGAAGTCTAAACTATATCACAAATTTGGTCATTTTTTAAAATATTTTGAAACTGTATATCAATATAATTTATTTACTTTGTAATTTTATATACATACGTGTATATATATGCATATATACACATATATATGTACATATGTTTGAATGTGTGTGTATATAAAAATAAATTTTATGCACTTAAAGAAATTCTTAGAAGATTTTCCCAAAGGGGTTATAGGCTTTACCTATGACACACAAAAATGTTAAGAACACTTGGTGTAGTACCTAGAACCTGCTGGACCTGAGGTAAGGAAGTTTTGGGTTCAAGGCCTGTCTCTGAAACTAAGTGGGTGACCCTGGGCAAGTCATTTAATCCTCTGACCCTAAGGCAAATCTCTAAGACTATAAATTCTGGGCTGTCTGGTGTGTCTCTGTTGAGGGAGTTTCCACATTCACTAAAATGTGGGCCTAGGACTCGCTGACAAGCACTTTCCTGACAATAAATCAGCAATAAGGAAATTAAAGATCTGAGAAGTTGTGACTTGTCCAAATTCATTGGTGTAGAGTGTTGGAATCAAGATTCCTTCTCCATCTTTTATCATCTGATTCCATGTTTAGTGCCCTCACCAACAGACTATCTCGCAAAAACTTTTATTGAGGCTTGCTTTTTTTTTTCTCCCTACTCTCAAAAAACAAACAGCCTGAGACTTCCTTCAATAAAATGTAAGCAAATGGTATGGTGGTTTTGTTCTCAAGGTTATCACATGCAGTTTTCACAAAATTGATACACGGCAAAGATAGCTTTGACGTGACAAACAACCCATGTTCCCCAGAGCTAGGAAATTCACAGGTGACCCTCCACTCACAGGGGCCACATTTCGGCACCAGTTTAGGCTTGTGGGAAGAGAAGGCACTGGAGGGAGGAATTCTCAGCTGAAGCTGCCTACGGGCCCCAGGCAAGGGACAAAGGAATCCAGTTTTCCCCACTAATACTACGTCAGCAGCAGATACAATACTCGGGTATGTATCATATCCGGCCAGATCTGGAAGTTCCAATTGTTTAGATCTATAATTTGCCATCACCTTTCTCCCTTTGATGTAAAATATACAAAGGGCCTTCAGAGAATGGTACGATATTAAGGTGGACAAAGAGTTTATGTCTTCCACTACAGATGTTGTTTTTCAATAAACTCAAAGGATGCCCAAGCAGCTGAGTTATGCCTGTAGAGCTTTTACTGGGGCTGAGGACTGCTATAGCTTGAATATTCATGGATGGACTTTTTGGCACTAATAAGTCTCTCCCATTTTTGGAGTTCATTAACTTCAAAAGGGTTACACTTGAAATAAGCAGTTTGAGTAAAGAAACCCTCATCTTTCCATATTTTCCTCAATGTTGAAACATATAGGGAGTTATAGCTACTTTATTTCCTTTGTACATTTTGATTTGGGTCCCAAAAACCCTGGTTCTTGGAGGTCAGGTGCCTTCCTGAGATGGACATCGAGGGACAAGGTGGAGGAGGGGTGTTTCCAACAGGAAGAACAAAAGGTCATTTACGTGGGGAAGCACTGACTGAACAGGGATTATATTATAAGCCTACACTCATTTCCTGGGCCAAGAGACAATCATACTTCTGCACCACCCTCAACATGTTTATCAAGTTAATCAAGTTAAAATGAAGATCTAGGGTCTCTATGACGTTAAAAAAAAAGTCAAAAATAGGATGCTTGGAGGTAGAATGAAGAAGGTGGAACAGATTAGCCTTGCTGACCATTTTATGGGTTGCTTGCATTATAATAACTCACACTTACATTGGTTTAATGCTTTGCAAAGCTCTTTACAGAAATTATCTCATTTGATCCTGACAGCAACCCTTGTTGGGGAAAGAATGAGTATCTCTGACCGGGTAGACATGCCAGCTGGAAGAGCTACCTCCCTCTCGATCACATGATCCCTCCTTTGGACACTGCCCAGAAACCCCCTCCTCTACCCCAACCCTACCCTCTCCCCCCCCCCAAAAAGTAAAGGGTCTGGGTGATGGCCCAATTTGTAGTACCCAAGGGACAGTTCTGCTTCCATTCATCTACTCTCACACCAAGGAATCTTATTTTTACCTGTCTGTTTCTGACATCAGTGCGATGCGGCCATAGTCCCAAAATCTTCTTCGTATTATGGAAAACACAACTATTAAAAACTAGGAGCAAGAAACAAAAAAGGGCGGGGGGGGGGGCAAAGGAGGTGAAGAGAAAGACAAACAGATGCATCATAAATTTTTTTCTCTAATTAGAATTGGAGATTTATTGGGGATGAGTGCAACATCACCCTAAGTCTACTAACTACAAAGCTCAGCATCCTATGTACCTCCAGCAATGGTGATGCCCCTCCATGGGCACAGAAATCCTGTCATTTCTACTATGCTACTCAAGTGTATCGCAGTAGGAGGTCAGACCCTCTTGTAATGGAGGCTTCAACATAAATTGCTTTCCCAGGCCTTGGTACGATCTAACTGCAACATTCCCACTGCCCAACTTCTACTAACATCAAAGCAGAAAGATTAAAAAGTGACCCTAGGAAGCAAAATCACATTTATGTAGCAGCCCTGGAGACCAAGTTCTCTCATTGATACACATATACACAGACATATACATACATTTATATGTATCTATATTGTATACATATGTATATACATAGGCATACACACACACATACATACATATACGGCAGCAAGGTGACACAGTGGCTAGAACACTGGACCTGGAGTCAGGAAGACCTGAGTTCAAATCCAGCCTCAGACACTTACTAGCCGGGTGGCCCCAGGCAAATCACTTAACGCTGTTTGCCTCAGTTTCCTTATCTATAAAACGAAATGGAGAAGGAAATGGCAAACGACTCCAGTATCTTTGCCAAGAAAACTCCAAATGAGACCACAAAAAATTGGACCTGACTGAAACGAGTGAACAACATATGTGTGTGTGTGTGTGTGTGTGTTTGTGTGTGTGTGTATTAGAATTAACAGCAAAAAGCCTGGTCATTTTCCCTTAGCTGAGCCCTGATCAATATTCTTTAATCACTCAAGTTTTGTTTTCTTAGAGAGAAGTAACAGGGCCTGGCCTGATTCCAATAAGTCTGAATTATCACTGGGGATTTTTGCAAACAAGCAAACATGAACTTCATTTTATTTCCAATCCATCCTCCAAACAGCTGCCAAAGTGACATATCTTGGGCACAGGTCCAATCATGTCACTCCCCAGGTCAATTATCTCCAGTGGTTCCTTATTACTTCTAGGAGTAAATACAAATTCTTCTATTTGGCATTTAAAGCCCATCACAATGTTGGCTCCACCTTACTCTTAAAAGTTAATTATATATTACTTTCCTCCATGCACTCTATGGTCTATCCAAACTGGCCTTCTTGGTGTTCCTCAAGGCTGTCCCCTTGCCAGGAATGTACTCCCTCTTCCTTTCTCTGAAGTACAGAGACCCAATTAGGTCATCTGCTCATCATTCTCTTCTATGACTTACTGTTAGACCTCTACACCCTTGGTTTTCTCTCACAGAAACTGATCTTTTCTTGCTATCTCAACCTCCCTCTGGGAGAAGCTCTTTTAGCTTCTTAGAGATATATTCCTTATATGTTCCTCCATATCAAGCTACACCTGTATTGATTTTGTACATACTTAAAAGTGTACATGTTGTTTCCCCCATGAGAATGTAAACTCCTTAAGAGAAGAGATGCTTTCAATTTTGTCTTTTTATCAGTGTAGCTGGTACATAGTAGAAGTTTAATACTTGTGGCTTGGGGACTGACTGACTGATCTTAAAGGCACATGCTTGTTGACTGAAGTATACCATAAGCAATACAGCATGTTCCTGGAAAGACTCAAGTAAGAAGCTATGTTCATACAGCTTTTTTGCAATGCTTACATGCTACAGTTTGGGAATTTCCCATGCCCACTATCTTACAGGGCACTCTGATATTCCCAGTACAAGAAAGAAAGACAGAAAGACAGACAGACAGAAAGACAGACAGACACACACACACACACACATATTGTCTTCAAAACTGCCCACCACCTGGCCCCACTCCTTACCTGTTTCTCTCTCCTTCTAGGATTTAACTCATCCTATTAACCCCAAGCCAGCCTTCTTGAAGTCCCAGCTCCAGTCCATGCTGCTCAGGTGTAAACTCTTCCCTTCCCCAACAGTCTCCCTCTTCCCACCCCTATAAACTCCTTAAAAGCAGGGGCTTCAACTTAATTTGCTCCACCTAGTGTTCCCTCACCAAACCAAAGAGAAATGGGAGCATCTCACCAAGAAACAGCTGACATCTATGAGCAGGACAGTAGGAACTCCACCAAAGGTCACTCCCTGGAGCACAGTACTGGTGTTATTGACAGTGCTGTAGCAATACGTATCATTGGGCTTATGATCAGTGTTCAGCCTCTCTCTGCTCCCGACCACCCCAGGATGCCACAGGCTCAGGGTTGGGAAACTTGTTGTTCCCTTCATTCCTAGAAGCCAGATGGGAAAAGAGGAGGAAGGAGGTAAACAATAAGCAGTAGGATTAATGACAGAACAGACACTCCCTTGAGACCACACCACTGGTACCAGTATCTCTTATGCTGCTGTAGGGGACGGATGCTTCTTTACAAGGACTGGTGGCTAAGCAGGAAGTCAGCTGGAGAGAAAGGGATTCAGAATTCCTCTGTGCCCAGCAGCATCACTTGAGAATAGTCCCATTGTTTTAGCGATTCCAGATTGTCAGAGGGGTTGGGACAGCCAGGCTTACTCTGGGTCTCAAAAACAGGTTCCCTTGAACACAATCTGTCAAATGGAAATTAACTGAGGTGGGTACCACCCCAGACTAAGGGGAAACACATAGAAGAAGCTGCCAATGTCTTAAGAGACTCTAGACAATGGAATCTAGGGCCTAAGGAACTTGTTTCTGAAAATATTTTGGTAACTGGATTTTAACATAATTGGTTTACTTTGCAATCCTATGTAATTTATTTTATATATTTAAAAACATTTTTCTGAGAAGGAGTCCATAGGCTTTACCATAGTGCCAAGGGGGAAGAAAAGGGAATAAGCATTTATTAAGTGCCTACTATGTGCCAGGCACTGCGCTAAGTATTTGCAAATATTATCTCATTTTATGTTTACAACAACCTTGGGAGGTAGGTGCTGTTCTAATCTCTATTTTACAGAGGAGAAAACTGAGGGAGACAGATTAAGTAACTTGCCCAGGCTCACACAACTAGTAAGTGTCTGAGGCTGGATTTGAATTCAGGTCTTCCTGACTCTGGGCCCAGTGCCCTATCCACAGTGCCAACTAGCTGTCAAAGGGGGTCTATGACACAAAAAAAGTTAAGAACTTCTCTAGACCAAGATGAAAATTCTCTCTAATCCTAAGGGCCACCAGAAGGACTAAACAGTGTTTATGGGGGCCATTGGCAAGGGTGAAAGAAAAGAGAGAGAAGAAGGGAAAACATAAAGAAAAGAAACAAGTAACAGAAGAATGGAAAATCTGGTCCTGCTATAGCTATCAACACAATACATGAGACACAGAAGACACACGATAAATAGAATCCAGAAGCACGGGAATCCCGGAGCTAGAATTGGATCTAGATAACTTCTAAAATGACCTTAAAGATTGTTTAGTCCAACCTCCTCCCCTATTTCACTGAACAGTTAAGTTGAGATGAAATTTAAGAGGGCAAAATATGTAAAGCCTTGTACTTGGGTTCAAAAATTCAACTACATCAATACAAAATGGGAGAGGTGTGGTCAGACTGGTATGTCTGAAAAAGAGCTTTGGGTTTTAGCGGCCTGCAAGCCCAGTGAGGGAGCAGCATGGTGTGGCAGTCAAAAACCTTAATGTAATTTTGGCTTGCACTAAGAGAGCCATAACTTCTAGGAATAAAGGAGTGATAGGACCACCGTGCTCTTCCCCAGATAGACTTCACCTAGAGTACTGTGTTCAGTTCTGGGTACCAGAGTTCAAGAATGACATTGATAAGCTGGAGAGTCACTAGTAGAACCAGGATGGTGAAAGAACCTCAAGTTCATTTCATACTGAGATTCACTGAAGGAACTTGAGATGTTTTGCACTCCCCCCCCCCCAAAAAAAAAGACCCAGGGGAGGACATGATAGCTATCTTCAAATTTTTAATGGCTATCAAATGGAAGAGGGTTGGATTTGACCAGTTTGGCCCTAAAGGGCTGAACCAAGAGTCATGGGGTTGGAAGATGTAAAGATGCAAAGAGGGAAATTTAGGCTTGGTGTCAGAGGGGGGAAAAAACTTCCTAACAGTTAGAACTTCCCCAAAGTCCAACAGACTGACAGCCTCCTTACTGGAGGACTTCAAGAAAAGGCTGGAAGAGGGATTAGACTTGGTCAATCTGGTCTGAAAGGCAAGAACCACGACACAGGAAAAAGTTGCAAAGAGGCAAGTTTGGAATGATCGGATAAATTTCCCAAAATTAGAGCTGTCCAAAGCCATATAGGCTGCTTTGAGAGGTAATGGGTTCTCCCTCATTGGAGGTCTTCAAATAGACTAGATGACAACTTGCGGGGTATGGAGACAATGAGGTGACCCGGTGGATAGAATCCAGGACCTGGGGTCAGGAAGACCTCAAATATTTACTACCTGTGTAACCTCCCTGCTTCAGGGACTGACTACCTGTGTAGCTTCTCTGAGCGTCAGTTTCCACCTCTGTAAAATGAAGAGGTTAGACTCCATAGCTTCTAAGGTCCCTTCTAATTCTAAATCTATGATCTTATCATCCTATGGGGATTCCTTCTCAAGTACGAGTCAGACTGGATGACTGCTAAAGTACCTTCCAATTCTATAATTAGATGATTCTGCAAAATTAAAGAAGACAGTGCCCAATGCTTCATAAGAGTGAAGGCCCAGGCAGCTAGACATTTTTTTTAAGTCTGCAGAACAAAATTTTATATAGTACTTTATATGATGATGGCTAACATTTCTATATTACCTTAAGGTTTCCAATGAGGTACTATGAGTGTTGTTTATGCATGTGTGGAAATTATAGCTACATCTGTGGTTCTAGCTACTCTGTGACAAATGAAAAACCTGCAAGACAGTTTGTGGTAATTAATAATCAATTTATCAATCTGGCTAGCTAATAATCAGTAAATTGATGGTCAGTGGTTTCTCTAGGTCACCAAAGACCCTTAATGGAGACAGTGAATGACCAAAAAAAAAAAAAAAGAGAATATTTTTTCTGAAAGGGAATGCCACAGGGGCAGCTAGGTGGCAAAGTGGATAGAGCTCAGGCCTTGGAGTCAGGAGGACTCGAGTTCAAATCCTGTCTCAGACACTTAACATTTACTAGCTGTGTGACCCTGGGCTAGTCACTTAATCAGGATTCCCTCACCAAAAAGGGGGGGAAAAAAGAAAGAAAGAAAGGGAACGCCCCTATGATGTAAAATGCTATCCACATCCAAGAAAGAACTATAGAGTCTGAATACAGATTGAAGCATACTATTTTCACCCTTTTTTTGTTTTGTTTTTTCTTTCTTGTGGTTTTCCCTTTTATTCTGATTCTTCTTTCACACCATGACTAACGTAGAAATATGTTTAATATGATTATACATGTATAACCTATATCAGATTGCTTGCTTTCTTGGAGAAAGGGGTGGGGAAGGAAGGAAGGAGAAAAAAGTTTGGAGCTCAAAATCTCATAAAAGTGAATGCTGAAAACTTTTTTTTACATGTAATTGGAAAAAAAATACTATTAAAAAAGAAAGAGAATGCCCCTGACAGGCGAAATCAACCCTGATTGGTGAACATTTAAATGAGGAGATAGAAATCTTCAGCTCCACCTACTGAGAACATGGTTTGATCACAAGACTCAGACGCCTCCAGCAATTTGGACAGAAGAATCTTCTAAACCACCCCAGTGGAGAAGTGCAAGGATGTGGCCTTATTTCTTTTCTTTTTTTTAAAATTAATTTATTTTGACTTATCAACAATCACTTCCATAAGCTTTTGAGTTTTAAATTTTTCTCCCTCTCCTTCCCTACCTCTCTCCCCAAGACGGTATGCAATCTGATATAGGCTATACATATACATTCCTATTAAACATATTTTCACATTACTGAGGTTGTGAGAATTAGAACTAATAGGAGGAACTACCAGAAAGAGGAAACAAAATACAACAGAAGAAAAAAAATAGCAAATAGTATGCTTTGATCTGCATTCAAACTCCATAGTTCTTTCTTCGGGCTTATTTCTTACGGGCAAAAATTCACTTAGAGTAGATTCTATTTACACTCTAAATAAAAATAAGGTTTCCTAGTTGGGTGGGGTCTTACCCTAGAAAAATCCTGTCAATCAATCATGTCCTTCAGAGATTGGCTGACTGACAACAGGGGCTTGTCAAGACTTAATACTAATTTTATAATTGGTTGTTAATATAATAGCAAAATAATAATTTCTCTCACCACATTGTTCTTAGACACAGAAATACTCAACCTCCCCTCTCCTATTGCCCCCAGCCTCAAATGACTGTTTAAACTTTAATTCCAGAAATCTGGATCATTCAAACTGAGAACGTGTCCAACTGTGCAGGGAACAAAAGTTTTAAGAGGAGCTGACATTTAAGCTTACAAACTACTTAACATATGTTGCCCCTCAGATTCACAGCCTCAATGCTGGGGAGGTGTCTGTGTATGTCTGTGTGTACCCGGGGAAGTAAAAGGTAAATATGAGACCAAGTGAAATAATGTAAATATAATCTTTTGCAAGCCTTAAAGTATTATATTAAAATAGTTATTATTGGGGCAGCTAGGTGGCATAGTGGATAGAGCAACAGCCCTGACGTCAGGAGGACCTGAGTTCAAATCCGATCTCAGACCAAACACTTGACACTTACTAGCTGTGTGACCCTGGGCAAGTCACTTAACCACAATTGCCGGGGAAAATAATGGTTATTATCATTGTTGTTATTGTTGTGATTATTATTTACATGCCAAGAAGCAGCAGTGCATAGTGGGCAGAAAGCCAGTCTTGAAGCCAGGAAGACCTGGGTTCAAGTCCCACCTCTGACACATACTGGCTAAGTAACTCATTTAACCTCAGTATTCTAAGGCGCAAAGAATATGGCAGCCTGAGTTGGTAGAAGGAGTTTCCTCATAGGGAATTCCCTATGCCAATGAAATCACAGGTCCAGTCCCTATTCGAATCCTTATTAGGTACTTCTTGTTGTTTGGTCATTTTCAATTCTGATTTTTCATGACTCTGGGGTTTTCTTGGCAAAGATACTGAAGTGGTTTGCCATTTCCTTCTCCAGCTCATTTTACAGATGAAAAACTGAAGCAAACAGGGTGAAGTGATTTGCCCAGGGTCACACATCTAGTGTCTGAGGTCGGATTTCAACTCAGAAAGATGAGTCTTCTTGATTCTAGGCCCAGCGTCTATCTACTACTGCACCACCTATCTGCCAAGGTATATTATTATCCTCATTTTACAGATAAGGAAGCTAAGGCTTAGAAATATGAACTGACTTACCCAAGGAGTAGTAAGTAGCAGAGCTTCTAACTCCAGTTCAGAGCCCTTTCTCCAGGAGCACAGACTGAATGAGGTGGAGATCACACTCCTCAATTTCAAACACTTAGCCCAAGGCTTTGCCCAAACCTGGTAGGTACTCCCATACTTAGTGAATGACTTAACGGAACAGGACCTCAACACGATTCTGGACACACCCCCAACTTAAATGACTTCTTTCCCCTCTTATATAAGATATGACAGTGCATATCTTGTGTAAGTGCAGAAGCAGCTTAGCAAGGACAAAGGTTGTGGTCCTGGAATGATACACGTGGATGTTGCTACAACTGCGGAGCCTCTCTATCTCCTTTCATAATCGCTTCCAGGGGTAGGTCCCAAACCGACCTCCCAAGGAGTTCCAACTCAGCAAGATTAATGCCTGTCCCTCCCCCTCATCCCTACACTTACTGGGTGATTGGAATCAGGAGCCTATGAAAATGGCCTCAGATGGTGCCTTCTCTGGCGTTTGGCAAGGGAGCAAAGGAGAACAAACATTCCCCGTCTCTGGCTCACCACAGCCGAACCTCCCACACTGCTGAAAGCTGGACTCCGCCACGGTGACAACTCATTTCCTGCAGGTCTTGAAAAACCAGAGTCCTGGAGGTCATTCGGCCTTCATGGATTGCTCTAAGAGGAATAGGAAGGAATGTCAAAAGGTCACATCAGGTTCCTCGCCGCTCTTTTCACATTCCCTGAAAACTGTCCAAACCTCTTTGAATTTAAAGCCCTTCGTAGACTTTGGTTTTACCTAAGAGCCCACTCGCATCAGCTCTTTTCCCCCAGCACCTACCCAACTACAAATATTAAAAAATTGGCTTGTTTCTGGATTCATGCCTCTGTTACTTTCTCTCTCTTCAAGCACTCAATCCTATCCCTCCAAAGAGAGTCTCTCCCAGTGACTTTCTGCTTTGACCAACTTTTCCTCTTCCCCAGGAAGAGACGGTCACCTAGGAAGGCAGCTCTTGAGGTCAACAGTGTTCTAGTACCCAAAGGCCTCTCCCGCTGCTCCAGAGGGGATAAAGAATCAGGAAGAGCTATGGTAGAATAAATGAAGATGAGACAAGTGGAGGAGAAAGGCCAGAGACCTGAGACTGAGTGTTGTTCTACATCAAAAGGCAAGGTTTTCAACTGGTTTTTAATTGATCAACATTCATTAAGCACCTGTACGACAGATACTGTGTTTGGTGCTACAGATACAAATACAAACATGAGAACTCTTTTCCCTCAAGGAGCTTCCGTTCTACCACATTGGGGGAACCTTATGTATTCACATATAAGTAAACACAAGATATATGTAAAATAAGTGCAAAATGATTGGGGGCAGGGGAGGAAATGAAGAGGTAAGGAGAATTAGGGGAGTCAGGAAAGGCCTTCTGAAAGCGGTGGCCCTTGGGCTGGGCCTTAAAGGGAACTAGGGGTTCCAAGAGGATGAGGAGGGAGAGCATTCCTGGAATAGGAGACAGCCTATACAAAGGCAGAAGGGTAGGAGAGGGAAAGTTGTGTACAGGGAACAGAAAATAGGACAGTCTGACTGGAGTGTAGAGTTTATGAGGGGGAATAAGGTGTAATCAGCTTCCAAATAGGAATTTGAATTTGATCCCAAAAGCAAAAGGAAGCCACTCATAGAGCATCTTATGGATGGCATTTGTCATTTCCTTCCCCAGCTCATTTTACAGGTGAGGAACTGAGGCAAACAGGGTTAAGTGACTTGTCCAGGGTCACACAGCTGGTAAGTGCCTGAGGTTGGATTCGAACTCATGAAGTTGAGTCTTCCTGATTTCAAACCCAGTGCTCTGTCTACTGCACCACCTTGCTGCCCCTATTTGTTACTTAATAAATGTCCATTCCTTCCTTCATTCATATCTTCAGTACCTAATATAGTGCCTGGTATATACCAGGCACTTAATAAATGCTTATTGATTGATTGAGCATTGAAAACCTCAGGCCAGTGGGACTTAGCAGTGAATCCGCACCTACCAGATGGCTGTGACTGAGGTTCGATGCTGAGGGCAGTTCCTTTGACATGGTAGACAAAAGCCCTAAGGCACTAGGGAAACCAGCCAGGCAGGCACTTACTAAAGAGGAGTGTTCTGAGAGTACATTCTGAATATGTCTCAGACTACACTAGATAGTTCAATACAAAAATAAATAAATAATAAAGCAGCACAGTGGAGTATTAGATTTGGAATCAGGGAACCCGAGTTCAAATCCCAGCTCTGCTACTTACTATTTGTGGCATCTTAGACAAGTCATTTCATATCCACCTGTTTCCTTAGCTATAAAACGAGGGCATTGGACTAAATGACTTCTAAGGTCCTTTTGGGGTCTAAAGCTATAAATACTACCATCCTATTCTACCTAGAAATCATCTTTTTAAAATATGTAGGACAGTTTTTCCATTTGATCTCCATAATATTCCTGCACAAATTACCTCTGAGGAACAGAATTTAAGTAGCTAGCCCAAGATCACACTGCTGGAAAAGGGTATAATTGTGCTAGACCCCAGTCGGCTCAGCACGTCTAATTCAGTGTACTTTCCAAGTATTGTAGTCCTCTCAAAATCTGAATCTAAAACCTTGGATTCTCAGTCAAATCCAGTTGCTGACCTTGACTGTACCAAAGTGGTAACTGCACATTTCAATGTCTTCTGGAGTCTGCATGGATACATTACAAGGTAGTACACAGGGTGGATTGATGGGAAGGGCACTGAGCTGGGAGTCAAGAGGCCTGCATTTCTTTTTCAGTTCTGCCAGACTCACTGTATGACCCTGGTAAGTTACCATTCCTGTGTCTCAGTTTCCTCAACTATAACATCAAACGAGGAACCCTTGTTATTCCCTCCCAGAGAAGCTATAGAGGGCTAAGCAGCTCAGAAGAGAGGCACTATGGAAACACAAAAGTATTTTTTTTTCTGCATCCCCACCAAACTTAAAGATGATGTTTTAAGAGATCAGTTAACTCCAAGCAGCTCTGTCTCCTCTAGCGTGCCTGAGTGCCATCTCCCTTGAAGTCCTGTGACTGGAGATCTCGGATTGAAACCTCAGTGGATTTTGCTTCTTTGCAAAAGCTTCTCCATGGAAGATCCCCTCATGGAGCAAACAGCCTGACTTCTGAAGGCCCCTACTTAAACAACTAGCAACTGAACTGTATGCATACTTGAGCTGGGACACCTTGTGTGCTCTTTAAACTTGTGGCCTGCTAGTAAGGGAGGAGGGGGGAATTATAGCTCCCGGTTTTAAAAAATCATTCCCTCAAACTAGAGAAACACACACGTAAAGTCCATAGGAGCATTTCATGCTTGTGTTTTCTTCCATTCTCAGGTATATGAACTGCCAGCTGGCCCAAGTTCATCCCCAAACCAAACACACTGGGGTGTGTGATGGCACTTCCAAGGGAAATGATGACATGCTCTCTGTTCTTGCCCACACTCACCCTTAGAGAAATTTCTGCAGATGTGGAGTTATTAAGGGGCCCAATAAATTTCCTGTGCTGGGAAGGACATTTTTATGGCATGCTCTCTGAGGAAGAATCATTCCCTCTGGCTATACTCCTTTTGGAATCCTCTACCTTCTAGTGCTTACCAACACACTTCTGGACACCCTAAGGAAGGAAGGATAGATATCCTCTTTGGACAGCCTCATTCAGCAGTCTGGGGCCTGAATCAACCCTCCACCCGAAACACCCTCCTCCCTACCCCTCCACTACTTAATTCCTACTTGTTACTTAGAGCAGAAAGTCTGCAGTAGGCACTCCACTACTACCTTGTCCTTGGAGGGAGGCACTTCCTTAAGACTGAAATCACCAAAGTCACCTTAAGCTCTCTGATAACTTTGGCTTATCATTAGGTGCTGAACCTCAGTAGATTTTCTTTGTTTGCAAAAGCTTTCTTAGCCCTGCTGCTTCCCCTCTCCCATACCTCTAGTTTTCAGGTCCTGTCCACCCCCTACCCAAGGAGCCAAACTGGTAACAGGTGGTTCAAATTCAGGTTAACTTCTTCCTCTATTCCTTTGGGCTTCCAAATACAGCGTGTCCCAAAAGTCTTAGTGCTGTCTTAAGCAGTTAATAGGCTTTTTGGGGATGTATTCTGTTTAAGCCTGTGAGGTTGAGCTCCACTGGTGAGCTCAGGCCTCTCAATAAGCAGTCCCTTAATACCTTTCCTGCCAAGTCTCCCCATGAGTGGATAAGCTCAATCGATCAGAAAGCATTTATTAAGCGCTCACCCGACACAGAGACAAACTCTAGACATACAAAGGAAAAAACCAATAGTCCCTGCCCCAAAGGGGCTTACCTTTTATTGGGGAGGGGCGCAATGTAAATAAAGAGATATCTAGAACATACAAAGTAGATGGAAGTTAACCTTAAAAGGGAGGGCTAGAAGCGCAGGGAGGAAATGTCAAATTGAAGCAGCTCCGGGATAGGCTAGTGGAGACTTCAGACGCCAGCTGACGGGAAGGGGTACAGTCGCTGAGGTTTAAAGGGACTAGTGAGGGAAAAGGAGGACAGAAGCGGGAAGGGGCGGAATTAAGGAGAGGATTAAGGGTGGGAAAAGGAGGCAGCGTAGTTTAGGAAGAGAGTCCTTGGCAGGGTGTAAGGAACCCAGAGGAAGAGAAGGGAGCAGCTCTGCGCTGCCCGAAGTTGGAGTCACGCTTCCCCTGACGTGGCCCCTCTCTTGGTCCCCTTCTCTTGTTACTGAGATGCGTGGCTGTGGATACCACCTACCCACCCACACCTCGGCAGGACCACAGCAGAAGGCCTGAACGTGCCACGCCCGCCCCGGAACCGGACACCTGACGTGGCAGGGTTCGGGGACGGTGCCCCTTGGTAGCCCAGCTCAGCCCATAGCACCCCTGGACAGACAGGCAGCCAGGTAGGCAGGCGAGGGGGCAGCAGCGGCGGCGCCTTCCGGTCCTTGTCCCCCTTTACCTGTAGCAGTGGCTCTGGCGCCGGCACAGAGAGGTTGTTGAGCTCCACCTGGTCCAGCCCAGAGGCTGCCTGACTACTTAAAAGTTACAAAGTGAAACTCAAGCGCTTCTAATGCACATGCGCAGAGGCTCTGCCTCTTGCCCAATTTGGGCTCGCTGGGCACCCAGCAGGCTACGCTCCCCAACAATGCCCTGCAGCCAAACTCACCGACCCACCTGCGCCCCTCAATTGTAGCTCCAGCCCCCGATCTTCCTGTACCACCTCGCTTCCTCAAAGTCCACAGCTGAGTGCTTCACTCCTCACTTAGGCATCCCCGAGCTTCCACGGACTTTGGAGAAATCGTCTCAGCCAAACAGCTCTATTTTACAGACAGCGAAACTGAAACGCCGAGAAGGGAAGTGACTTGACCAAAGTCACAGAGGAAGTATGCCAGCAACCAGATTGATCTTAGCCAGGAGACTCACGTGGTTTGGGCGACATGAAATAAATGTGCTTAAACTTCCATCCTGGATGGAGTTTTGGATGAGGAAAAGGGAAAAGGGAATAAGGGCAGGCACTTGGATGGGAGGCCAGGCCCAGGGGGAGGGGAGGGGCAGCACCCATCTTTTCTTGTGGAATACTGTAAATTCCTGGGGAAATTATTGCCAAAGGAATTGAGGGTATGAGAGAAGATGAAAGCTGATGCAAAGATAATGTGGGGGTAGAAGGGTCTCACTAGGAGCCAAAAGATCCCATTCACTCTGCTGGGGTGACTAGGTTGCTGTTATGACTTGAATTGCAATTGGTCCTAGAACCGTTGATAAAGCTTGCTACCCACCTCCTACCCACGTGCTATGGTGGGTATGTAGATGGTATGCACAACGTGACACACTTTTGGACATGACCAGTGAGAGTATTTGTTTTGCTTGAATATGCATATTAGTAACAAGGATTTGTTTTTTCTTTTTTCTTTTTTAAATTATTATTATTATTATTTTATTTTTAGGCAATTGGGGTTAAGTGACTTGCCCAGGGTCACACAGCTAATAAGTGTCAAGTGTTTGGTCTGAGGTCTGATTTGAACTCAGGTCCTCTTGAATCCAGGGCAGGTGCTCTATCCACTGTGCCACCTAGCTGCCCCAGTTTTTCTTTTTTTCAGAAGGGGGAAGTGAGAAGACATAAATGCTTGGTCCTAAGGGTCTGATAGGGCAGCTAGGTGACAGTGGGTAAAGTGCCAAGCCTGGAGTCAGGAACATTCATCTTCCTGAGTTCAAATCCAGCCTCAGATATTAGTTGTGTGACCCTGGGCAAGTCACTTAACCCCAATTGCCCCCCCCAAAAAAACAAACAAAAAAAGGAAATGGCAAACCACTCCAGTATCTTTGCCAAGAAAACCCCAAATGGGGTTATGAAGAGTCAGACAGGACTGAAAAATGACTCAACAACAACAAAAAAAGGATCCTGTAGACTCCAATCTTCCAAAGCCTCCATTTAGTGAACTGCTCAGGATTACAACACTCGGCTCATTTGTCTTTGTAGGCCCAGCACTTATCATAGCTCCTGGCACTTAGCAGGTGATTAATAAATGCTAGTTGATGGACTGACTGATAAGTTTACTGTCTGTCTATTTTATTCATTTTGCCACTCCTGCAAGCCCAGGACTGTGTTTTATATTTCTTTTGTTTCCACCCTCTCTCCGTATCCTCCAGCCCTCTATTATACCTACACCTTTAGTAAGGTGATATATAAATATTAAATGAGGATGGCATGGTATAGAGGACAAGAGGGCTGACCTTGGGGTCATAAAGACCCAAGTTCAGTCTTTTTGTTTGCTTCTACAGAATGTGATCACGGATAAATAATTGGGGGGAATTGGTATTTATAGAAACATGGAGCTGTCTATATGTGTCCTGGACTGCTACAATATTTCAGCTGATCTGTGATCTCATTGACATAAGGATGTTCCCTTTCGTGGTACAAATCACAACCCATGCACAGCCTCTCATTCGATGGGGCTTTTGTCCATGTTCTACAGCTTTTCTTCCACTAAGGTCCACCCAACATGCTGAGAACCTTCCTCTAGTTCTATTGACATTGCATGGCTACCAATGGAGCGAGCAGTCTTGTCCAGTGGGTTTTTTTTTCCTTACTCTTGCCAAATGAGCAGCCCAAATTCTAATGACATCCTTCATGCCACTTTTCTTATGAAATTTTGGTTGGTACAATGTTATGGGCAGTTTTATAATACGGTAATACCAGGGGCAGCTAGGTGGTGTAGTGGATAGAGCACTGGCCCTGAAGTCAGGAGGACCTGAGTTCAAATCCGGCCTCAGAGCAAACACTTGACACTTACTAGCTGTATGACCCTGGGCAAGTCACTTAACCCCAATTGCCTAAAAAAAACCAAACAAACAAAACACAAAAAAATACAGTAATACCTTAGCCAGTCACACAGCCAACTAGCATTTATTAAGTGACTACTAGTTGCCAGACGCTATGCTGAGTGCTAGGGATACAAAGAAAGGTCAACAAAACAAAAACAAAAACCAGTCCCTACACTCAAGAAGCTCAGTCTAAAAACAAAAAAGAAAAAATTTTTTTAAATAAAAAAAAATTTTTTAAAAAGAAGCTCATAGTCTAAAGGAGGAGTCAACATGCACATAAGTAAGTACAAATAAGATATATGCAGGAAAAAATTGGGGTAGTCTCAGAGGGAAAGTACTAAGATTGAGGAGGACTGGGAAAGGCTTTTTGCAGAAGGTAAGACCATAAGTAAGATGTGAAAGAAGCCAAGGAAGCCAGGATAAGTGGAAGGAGAGCATTCCACGCATAAAGGAACAGCCATCTGTGTAATCCCTGCTCAAAAACTCAGTGGCTCCCTATTGCCTGTAGAATAAAATGTAAACACCTTCAACTGTCATTTAAAACTCTCCACATTCTGGTTCCAACTTATCTTTTCAATCTTATTTCATTTTCTCCTCTTTTATACATTCTTCATTTCAGCCAAACTAGCTGGCTATAGCTATTTTACAATCTTGTCCTGAACTACAACTGATTGGTGGAAGCAATGAGGTGGTGCTGATATCTGAGTTAAGGGCTCCTCAGCCTGCCTTGTACCCTGAAGATGCCCATAGATATCATGGAAAAGCAGGTAGAGTAAGAGCCCCAGGGCTGGTGTTTGTAGTTCACTGTGGCTCAGTATACTGACCCTATATATGTTTTTAGTGAGCCCAGGGGAGCTCTGTACTTGGAACTTAGTGTAACCATGCTTTATAGGAATTCAGTTAAACTGTGAATTTAATCACCCTCACGTCTCCAGAGCCTGGAGTAGAATAAGGGGGTATTATGCCCCACAGGTGTTGGGGGGGGGAGAGGTTTATATGTTTGTTCTTGCTATACCTTTGAAGTAAATATTCCATTGTAAAAATGAATGACTGTTAAATGATTAAATGGAACTTGGGTGCAGGGGACCCCTAGAATGGGGGGGAACACAACTGGTAAGAACTTGAGCCAATGGCAGAGACTAAACACTCCCTAATACCCTTTAAGAGTACCAGAGAATGCTGGTAGAGGGGTGAAATATAACATGCTTAACTTTCAGGCAGTGGGGACCAGAGTAATCCCTGTTACACTGGTATACACTGATAATCCAAGACCTCCTTTTAGCTAATATAACCCTACTCTGGGGGGTGCAGTGGGGGGCAAAATGGTGAGTCTTGAGGATACAAGTCTCTTTTTATCTTCCCCAATCTTTTACTTTCCTAGTGCCACTTCTGGGGAGGGTGCTAATGATCAGTGAAATGGCACCTCAGGGAGAAAGAGGAGATGGATGAACCCTTAGATAACTCACACTCTGGAGAACCCATACTCTGGCTAATCAGCCTCTGAATAATGGAGGTAACTGTTAACAACACCCTGTATCTTGATACCAGAGACAACACTCACTGTCTAGTCAAAAAGCCCTATCCTTGAAGCCAAAATACTAAGCTCTAGGTAAAGTCCCTTTTTATACTTCATTTTCTGCAATTAGTGGAAGGAGAATACTATCAACCAATCACATGGTTATATTCAGTGTATTGTTGACGTAGATGGATTTGGAACAATAATACCTTGAATAGTCAAGACTTATCCATGTTCTGTTGTCACTCAGTGACTTCTAGATATTAATTCAGCCCTTCTAAAAGGCTGACAGTGCTCTGCAACAGTGGCTGGGTTGGCCCTACCTGATAACCTATGTACCCTGCAGAGACCTGGCTGTGGAAAATTTTTTTAAACTTCCTTTTTTTGTAAATGTAAAATATATATATTTATTTATTTAATATTTTATTTCCCCTAATTACATGTAAAAACAATTTTCAACATTCATTTTTTTAAAGTTGAGTTCCATTGTACAAAGTAAGAGCTACAATGTGAAATGATCAACTATGACTGATTTAACTCTTCTCAGAAATACAATACAAGACAATTCCAAAAGACTCATGATGGAAAATGCTATATACCTCCAGAGAAAGAACTAATGATGTCTGAATGCAGATCAAAGCATATTATTTTCACTTTCTTCGTGTGTGTGTGTGTGTGTGTGTGTGTGTGTGTGTGTGTGTGTGTGTGTGT